GGGTTCCCCCTGCCCCATAGGGATCATCCTACCCCATAGGGATCCTGGTCCCCTGGGGGGTTCCCCCTACCCCATGGGGGTCCCCCTGCCCCATAGGGATCCTGCTTCCCTGGGGGTTTCCCCCTGCCCTGCGGAGGACCTGCTTCCCTGGGGGGTTCCCCCTGCCCCATAGGGATCATCCTTCCCTGGGGGGTTCCCCCTGTCCCATAGAGATCACCCTGCCCCATAGGGATCCTGCGCCCCTGGGGGTTTCCTCCTGCCCCATAGAGATCACCCTGCCCCATGGGGGTCCTGCTTTTCTTAAGGGGGGTCCCCCTGTCCCATACAGATCCCTCTGCTCCTTAAAGACCCCTGAAGGATCCCCTGCCCTATGGGGGAATCCCTCTGCCTCAAAGAGATCCCCTGTTGGGCTCCTCCTGTGCTGTAGAGATCCCTCTGCTCCGGGGTGATTCCCCTGACCCACGGAGGATCCCCCCTGCTCTGGAGGGATGGCCTTACCCCATGGGGAATCTCTGGAGATCCCCCTGCCCCACAGCAATCCCTGTGCCCCACAGGGATGCCCCTAGCCCATTAAGGATCTCCACCCCACCCCTTGGAGAATCTCCGGGGATCCCCCTTGCCCTGTGGAGACCCCTCTTGCCCCACAGGGATCCTCCTGCCCCATCGACCCCACCTGTCCGTTCCTGCACCCCCCTGCTGCAGGTATCCCCAAGGGACCCCCTCTTTCCTGCGGTGCCCCTCACCACTCCTCTGGGCTCTGCCCTCCCGGACCCCAGGGGAGGGCTCCCTCGTGGGCAGGGCAGGCTGCCGGGCTCCTGGGGTTTCTGCTGCTTGCAGAGAGCTGGGTTTGTTCTCGCAGCCGGTCCCAGCTGGGATCCGGGGGTGCTACTGGGGCTGCCGGGCAGGTGACTGTGCCGACTTTCCTCACCTCCTGTTTGATCTCACACCTCTTCTGCACGCTCCCCGCCTGCGGGTGCAAAATGCTGCTCTTTGCTCCTGCCTGCAGCCCCGACCCAAGGCGAGATGTGCTTTTAAATCAACTCGTTTTGTCTGCCAGAGTCTCTCGGCTAAAGCCGGCAAGAAACTCAGTGTTGGCTGAGGAGGGTCCCCAGGCTGCAGATGGGCAAACAGCAAAAATGCAGCGGATCAAATTAGCTGCTGAAGATGGGAGCTTCTGTCCCCATCTGGGGAGGCCGGGCTCCAGCTTCCCCACGGGGCTCACCTCTGTCTCCGGAGGAGGGCAGAGGTCTGCTTGTTAACTAGATCCTGTTTGCTTTTTAATGAGAAACCCCAGCCGTTATCTCTCCCGGGTGTTGCCTCTTGGCGCTGCCTGACCCCTCACCTCTGCTTCGGGCCGTGTACTCGGCGCGGCGGTGACCCTGGCCTTGGCCACGTGGAGCATCCAGGCACTTTATGACTTGCCCATCTGCGGTCTCTGATTTAGTGTAAAACCTCCCACGATGGGCTCTGGCTTTCCCTCTTGCCTGTGTCCTGGCATGTGCTTCCCCTGACTTTCACCTCT